TCAATTCATTCAAGTCACGACTGGATGAAGCATTAAACCACCTAACTTTTCAGTACCCGTGAGTGAACGTCAGAATTCGCTATTCAATTGTACTACCAACTGAACCGTGTGTACAGACTCTATGGGATTCAATAAGCATCAGCTTTGTAACTTACTCATAGTAGAAATTTGAATTTAAGGTGTTTCCAATTTGGGTATATATATTGAAAAAGTGTCAACGGTATTTCAATTATGAGCTTAATAGAAATTTTCAATAATTTGATTTCAGCCAAAGCTAGTTCAGTTCTCATTGAACAACCAGTCACTTTTATGTACCGGTTTTGGTTGCTGTCTTATGAAAATGTGTGCTTGGTGCATGATTTCTTAGGGGTTGAGTTAAATCAAAATCTGATGCTCCCAGTTGTTGGCTACCAACGGGCGGTTATGTTGAAGCAGTTATCATTTTGTGACAGAGTTGTATTATCTCAATGATAGGAGTGACATTTATTATAGTTGTTCAGTGTCAGCTTAATTTGAGCGGGGATGGTTGGTTGCCAAAGACCATTTAGTACCTTGACATTCATGTTCTGAACCCTCACCCATCCCCATGATCAGTACTTGATGGGCAAGATTTCACTGGTGTTAGTTATCTTCCTAAAAATATGTATACTTTATAAAACAATTTTACATTGAATAAACCCAATTTAGAAAAGAGATTAATATGCATACAATGCCATTCGCAAGAATGTACAGCATTTCCTTGCCTTTTTAGCATTTAGATTTGTCGTACAATTTCCTGGACGGATCTACCCTTTTGAAATTGGGCTTGCTACCTGCACTCGTACGGCTTTATATGAGCGGAAATGGTATTCACAGCCTCCCACAAGACCTGGCTGAACCTCAAACAGACAACAGGTAATGCTGCAATTCCCCTTAATTCGAGAAAATTTGGTACTTGTGCGATACAAACGGGCCGGTTAAAAATGCTGCCGGGAAACCAACCAAACAATCAAACAAACAACAAGCCAATCAACTAAAAAAACCAACCAACCAAAAGACGAGTCAACCTCATAACCAAAAGAACAAAAATTGTGCCAAACTGTGATTTGAGTAACTAACAGGGAATCTGGATATAAAAAAGCAGAAAAATAAAGCAGTATGCCAATATTTCAGTACAAACATTTGGTTTTGGTTTCAAGTGCACAACGGCTTTTCTCTGTGTGCATTTGACTTAAAAAGTATAATATCGTGATCGGTGAAACCAAGTCAGGTTACAAGAACTGAAACACCTGAAGAGACGAAATGACTCGACTTTGGTAGTTTCAAAAACAATGGATGAAGAAGTGATACAGCCCGCTTCTTCTCTCGTTTTGTTGATTTGAACTGAATGTCCTTCGGACTCCACCTTCACACACAATCCTCAGTTCATCGGAAGCACCAGACTCGAGTTTTGCTCTTATTGGAGCTCATTAGTACTGCATAACCACCGTTCCCTCCGGGATTTAAACTCCGGACCTATCGCATGAAAGGTGTGTGCTTCACCACTGCGCTAACCAGCTCATATTATGGCTGAACCAAATTGCCAATTCATGTTTGTTCAGATGTCGTCTTCAGTGATAGTCAGTTGTTTTGACCCGACAGCAACGAATGGAGACACAGATGACAATCTGTTAGCTCCAATCGAAAACCTCCCACCAAATCAGGACTTCCATGCAGGTTACGGGCTGGCTGATTTGTCAACGAACCTACAAGGTTGGATTGATAAGTCATTCTTTCAGCCTCAGAGTTTGTAACATCTGGAACTCTGTTCCACCTCAAGTTGTTTGTGCACCAACCGTCAATTCATTCAAGTCACGACTGGATGAAGCATTAAACCACCTAACTTTTCAGTACCCGTGAGTGAAAGACCGAATTTGCTATTTAGTTGTACAACCAACCGAACCCAGTGTGTATAGATCCTGTGGGGTTAAATAAGCATCAGCTTTGTAATTTACCCATAATAAAAATTCGAATTTAAACTGAAAAGCATTGAAAGCACTGGAATTTCTCATGTTAAAATCTACCGAGATAGGCACCCGGGAACGGACAGCTCATAATAATAATAATCTCACATCCTGATCACTCGGGCCGGATCTAAGTAACTGGCTGCGCGACAACACACATACACACACTCACACACACTCTAGCACTCATACATCTCTGTCGCTGAATGCACACCGGACGGTAATTTAATCCCCTAATGTAAAACTTCCACTGCTTTCAAGTTCTTTTTAAATGAGGACTGACATGTTCACAGTGCTTGGAGAGAACACAGGTGGAAAACTGGCGGATGTCATGATGATCTTCAGTGTCATCATCGAACAAAGATAAAATGACATCATCTGCACACTTCGAGACTATGAAGCTAAAATCAATCTGCACTGCACTCGTATGGCGATCGGTCGAAAACCTGATCAAATAATGTACGACGCGAACAACGTGCACTGTCCTCTCCACCCGGGTACTTTTCTTGGAACATACCAACATACTCATTTAATTTGTCAAAATGATTGATCCCAAATGTTTTTATAATTGAGAAATAACCGGTGGTAAATTCAGGAGATGATCAAAATAAGAAGAGCCTCCCCCCCCCCAAACCGAGAATCGAAAGTAATCAAACAAGAGTAAATAGAATAGATTTCTTTCTCACGTTATAAATTCACTAAAGTTCTTTGATCAGCAAATACCCAATTAACTTGAATTAACCGATTCCATGTTAGATTGACATGCTTTCACCAGTATTCATTCAAATTTTCCGTATGACTTTCTTGTGTAGCAGAAAAGGTTGAGTGATTAGAAAGGATTGTTCGTTAAATTGTGTCAATGGGGTCACACGTACTCATTGTTGAAAGCAGTTAACGTGAGCAAAAGGCTCCACAGTACAGTTGAACTTCAAGACCACCGATCAATTGTCGTACTAGACCCACATTTTCATGTGGCCGCTCACACATTTGGATTCATACGAGCAGTTGAAGGTAGCGTTTGATTGAACTAGCTCTGTCTATTACTCGAAACGGTCAGACAGGAGCCAGATAGTGGTCCAGTGCAAAGACCTGACTATAGGGGTGAGTTGTAACGTTTGCAGTCTCTAGTCCACCCACTCTAGCCAATAGAAAAGCAGTCCAGTCCTCTCAACCAATAGATTATCGTCTGATAGTATTGATCTGGACCAGCAGCCTCATTTCTTTTCTTGTTTTTTTTAATTGTTGAAATAAAATAGATTTGTTTCGTTTCGTGTACTTGTGTCAGCAATGAAACCGTTAGGCCACGTTTTTGATCATGTATGGGTGCTTTTATCAAAATTGATGATGGTCCGAGGG